GTCCTCAAGGCCCCCTGTCCTGCAGGTTTTAGAGGTTTCCTTGCTCCAGCACAGCTGATTTTAATTGAAAGCTGACTAACAGGCTTTTGGTCTACTGCAATCATTATAACCTGCTGTGCTGAAGCAGAGAAACCTCTATGACTCTTTCGTGGATTCCTGGCAAAAATGGAAGGTTCTGTGCATGAAGATGATGTCGTTTGAGGTCAATAAATAACTGGATTTTTGATAATTGGATTACTGCTGTTTGGAGGAGGGAGATCGTGAAATTCGGAAGATGTCAGGGGCTTTTCTGACTGTTGAGGCTGCTCAGCTTGTATGAGGGGGATCTGCACAGCTATCAACACTCACAGTTAAGGGAGCAGAATCACAAACTGGATGTGATCCTTGCACAGGATTGCAGGCTGGCTGCGGTTCCTGGACACAGAGGTAAAATGGTAAATTCTTGGAAAAAGTTGTTAGCCCAGATCTATCATAATTGTAGCATGATTGTAGCATCGTAGTAACAAGGGCAATTGCCATGGGAACAGTGTTTCATGGACCTACAGTACTGTGCACACTCAAAGCACACACATGAATACTGATATACTGATATATAAACATACCCCCACCCAAGACCAAGCTCGACCTTCCCTGCTAAAAAGAGTTTTCTCCATTGCTTCTTTGTGCGTTTTTTTCTTACAATGTCAAACTGTATCCTGCAAAGGATAATGTGTCAAAAAAAATTTTTTTCCTGTTCACCCTTTTTTATCCTTCTCTCTTTTGTATCCTAACTTTCATAGCAACAAGGCCTCAGGCACCCACCACCCCACCCCACCCCCATTGAGAATTTCTGTGTTTTTGTATTTTCTTGGATGTAATGTACAGACACTGAATTTTTCACCCTACTGGGGTGCTGCTCCAGCCTGGGTGACAAATGAAGTAATCTTATCTAAATCAACTCAACAGCCTAAGGCCTGAGCAGAAAAAAAGAAGAAAAAACAATCAATCTGTGCAAAAAAAAACAAAAACATAAGTAATATTGGATACAAGTTCACAATACAAAAATATTACAGACACAGATGTAAAATGTATTAAACTTACTGTATATAGTGATGTTGACTGCATTGCTGAACTCTCCTCTTTGAGTCTCACACCAGTACACAGATTCATCGAACTGCTGGCTGTTGATGGTACATGATGATCCAGTCATTTCCCACGAAGTGGAGCAGTCAGATAAGTATGACTGACGGTTTATTACTGTATATTTCATTACTCTCCACTCAGTTGAGCTACCTCCACAGTTAAGTGAGACAGTATGATCTGTAAAATGTTTCTCCTTCTCAGGATTCACTGTGAGAGACGCTTCTGGATGAAAAACTGAAACATGATACATGTATTAAATGTCTCACAGTATTCGATACTAGAATCTACAGCAATAGTCGTGCTTCTATTAGAGTTTACGCAGACTGGTGTTTGGTTAGATTTTCAATGTTTTTTAGTTTTAGTTGTTTTCTTTTTTGTTTTGTTATTTGCACATTGATTCTACTGCATAAGAAAAGTGCTGAATAAATAGAAATTTTCTTTGCTGTAAAAAAGTCTTTTTTGTAAATTGTATTTTAAAGAAATTTACAATATATATATATATATATATATATAATTACACAAAGAATAGACATACAGAAACAACACATTCTCAATGACCAAACCACCACATTGCAATAATAATATCTCAATACAAAGTTTAACATCCATGAAATTAAAGTCAAAACCCAAAAAACGGGCCACCAACCAATGGGCAGGAGTTGATCCTCTAATACACAGCCCTTCCTCATTTGCATAATGAGGCAAAAATGCAGACAAAAGATGTAAAAACAACAGGCAGAACTAAATACAACTGAACAAATAAATAAGGTAAAAAAATGCAAAGGAAGAATAAAACAGACAAAAATATTATAACATGCACATAAATAAATTCTTAAAAAATAAGTAATTAATAAATAAATTTGAAGAATATAACAGACAATAAACAAATTATATAATTATTACAAAGGCGAATAAATAAAGAACCTAATTGAAATAGATATTTATATATACAATTATGTCTCACTGTATAATTTAATTTCTACCTACATTTATTTGATTATTGTATTTTTTGGGGCAATTAATTGTGTGCTTAATTATTTATTGAGCATTTATTTATTTTTGTATTTATCTTTAAATATGGTAGAGCTGTTCCCCCATTGTTAGTATCCTCTGCAAAGAAAAGAAATGTACGTATTCTAGAAATTTTGAAAATGTCAGTAATATAAAGGATAAATGATTTTGGCCCCAAAACTGACCCCTGGGAAACACCACAAACCATGTCCGAGCACAATGACTGGGAGTCGCTCACTGAGTATCATCAAAAAATTCTACCAAATGGGATAATATATATAATAAAAAGAATTGGCTCTTGCAACCCTGGAGCATGAAGATTTATCATTAACATAAACAAACTTAAATCTGTCAAATAAATAATATATAAACCATCCTAGTGCTGTTTCCTTGATTCCTACAAAATATTCAGCAAGTCTTTCTAAAAGAATATTATGATCAACTGTATCAAATGCAGCACTGAGATGTAACAGGACAAGTACAGATACAAGTCCATTATCCGAGGCTATGAGAATATCATTAGTGACTGTTTCGGTGCCATGATGAGCTGTAAAACCAGACTGATTATTGAAAAGTTCATTATGGTGTAAGCGGCCCAACACTTGTTTAGCAACTATTTTCTCAAGATTCTTAGATAAGAAAGGAAGATTTGATATAGGTCTATAATTGACCAAGTCATCTGGGTCAGGAAAACTTTCTGAAATAGGTTTGAGTACAGCTGGCATAAAATCTAATACAAACAACATAAAAATAAAACAAGCCAGTCCCATCTGCTCCGTAGCTTTGTTTTGGTTGCTGTAACCACAGAAAATCCTGCTTCACAAAGATAGGATGTTATAGATAGGATGAATCTTGAATGGAAATAACCTGTGTCAAGAGGCACAGATGCACCGACTGATGTAATTGGGGGAGAATACCGCAATTTTTTATATTTTTCAAAATAAAACATCACTCAGACTCTGATCGTTGATAAATTATATATACATATATATATATATATATATATACACTCACCGGCCACTTTATTAGGTACCCCATGCTAGTAAAGGGTTGGACCCCCTTTTGCCTTCAGAACTGCCTCAATTCTTCGTGGCATAGATTCAACAAGGTGCTGGAAGCATTCCTCAGGGAGT